ACTCTGGAAGCCTGGATTTAGCCTCCGCAGGAACTACGGGGCTCGGGCTCTCGGGCTCTCGGTTCTCTGTTCGCAGGGCCTGGAGGCTCCGGGGCGGGGCCGCTGATCTGCTCAGCTCGGGGCAGGAGCGTCCTTGCTGTCCTAGGCCCTCCCGGCCTCTGCCTGTCCCGGGGGAGGCCGGATCCTGGGCTGTGTCCCGGCGCCCTGTGCTCCGGGGCCTGCGCTGTTGGATTCACGCTCCCGCCCTGCAGCTCCCTCCCTGGAGCCGCTCCCGAGCCCCTCCGAGCTGCTCCGAGCTGCTCCGGAGCCCCTCCGAGCTGCTCCGGTCGGTCCGCCGTGCGCGCTGCAGCCCTTAGGGAGCTCCGAGCACTCTCCTGTGCTCGCAGGTGTCTGTTAGTGTCCCCGGGAGCCCGAGGGCATCCCCGCCCTCCTGGGTCCTGCTCTAACTCCCTGCGGGCCCCTTCCCGACCGGGAAGGTTGGTGCAGCTCCTGCTCCTCCGGGATGGGGCTCTCCTGTCCTGGGGACACTCGCCCTGGCCTCAGCCCGGCTCCTCGCGGGGCCCCTCCCCCTCGGAGGCCTTTTGTTCCTTTATTTCTTTTTCCCCGTCTTCCTACCTTGATAGAAGCGCGGACTCTTCTCACTGTAGCATTCCAGCTGGTCTCTTTACATCTCAGGCCGAATTCGTAAATTTTCAGGATTGTTTGAAGGTTATCTAGGTAATTTGGTGGGGACAGGCGATTTGGGGACCCTGCTCTTCCGCCATCTTGCCCCTCCTCCGGATTCGGGTATTTCTGTGTGGCTCAGTGGATTAAGCATCAGACTTCAGCTCAGGTCATGATCCTGGGGTCCTGGAATCAAGCACCACATTGGGTTCCCTGCTCAGTGGAAACCCTGCTTCTCCCTCTGCTCCTCCCCTGTTGTGCTCATGGTAAGATGTCAGCAGTACCCAAAGCTATCTTCAGGTTCAGTGCAAACCCTATTAAAATACCAATGATGTTTCTTGCAGAAGTAGAAAACATCATCCTAAAACTCAAAGGAATTTCAAAGTCCACCAAAAACTAAGAACAATCCAGAACATCAGCACTGGCCTCTTCATTTTCACTTCTTTCTTTCCTTTCATTCTGTCTCCCCTAGAAAAGGTTCTTGGGGGACGCCTGGGAGGCTCAGCCGTTTCAGCATCTGCCTTTGGCTCAGGGTGTGATCCCGTGGTCCCAGGAATGAATCCCACGTCGGGCTCCCTGCATGGAGCCTGCTTCTTCTCCCTCTGCCTATGTGTCTTTGCTTCTCTCTGGCAGAGGCCGCGCGCCGGAGGGACAGAGCCCGGGAGTTGGGACGCTCGCGCGGGGTCGCACGGTCTGATTGGGCCCCGGGCCACCTCTCACTAAACCACTTTTAAAGAAAAGAAGCATTTAATATCCTCTGGTGCCCCAGAGGAGCACCCCTGTATCAGCTCAGGTGAGTTCAATGCAAAACCCCAAAATTGAGGCTCTTAAGAGTCCCAGCCCAGAGAAAATACTTGCTTGTTATGACAGGCACAACCTCACTTAGGCCCTAAAGCAAGTCCTTAAGGAATTTTGATTGTAATAGGAAACCAAAGCAGAAGTACTTTAACTTGAAGAAGCCCTGCCACCCTTGAATAGGATGAGCCATGGAAACAAAATTCAGCTCACATTCAGTGGGGGGGAAAAGCTGGTACTTTCACAGGTATAATTACATGTATTTTTAACATTCCAAACTATTGCTTCTACCTCAAGACAATCCAGTGGCAAATAATACACAAGTTTTACCAAATAGGTCTAAAATCAAAGAGAGCTCAGAGCAGTGTAAATGTGGAATGACCAGAAGGTGACAAGTAGGACAGGGCAGGAAGGAGGCCCAGACCCAGAGAAATGTAGCTGAGACTGCACCCTCACTCTAGGCTGCAGAATTCTGTTTCACTGGACTAAACCACCTTTCGGAACCCAGGCAGACAAAGTTCTCTACAGGTGTCATCCAATTGATCCTTAGAGACCATCACTCTGGTTTCTTTCCAAAAAGGGTTCCAGTAGGACCATAACAATTCCCCAGAATTGCAGCTAAAATGGTCTGACATGAGTCCACTTGCAGTCTAACAATCACACTTATTTATGGTTTTTTAGAGAGAAAATTGAAGCACTGACAAGTGAAGGAAATCACTTAATGACACAGACACCACAACAAGCCTGCCTTAGTTGCACAACTCTGTCACTATACTAAAAAATCATTGGATTGTGCAATTTAAAAGGTTGAATTTTATGATATATTAATTATATCTAAATAAAATTATTATTTTTCTAAAGAAAAAGAATCCTGAATTATCATGCTTTTAATAGAGAAGTATTATTTCTGCTGTTAAAGGCCTGCTGTTGGCTCCTAATTTGATTATCTAACATGATTAAGTGCCTCCTATATGTGATGTTATCTTTAGCAATCTCCACCAGTGAGGTTGGTGTCATTATTTCCACTTTTATAAAGTTGGGAAACTGAGACTCAGAGGATTAGATAACTGACTAAGGAACATAGCCAGGAAAAGATAAAGCTCAGATTGGAGCTCAAAATTTTCAGAGTTTTCACTGATGAGTCTATTCTTCCGTGCAAGTCAGAAGAGGAAGAGAGACCTGAACACACCAAATACACCAAATTGTGTGCTGCTTCTGGGGATTTACCCCAAAGATACAGATGCAATGAAATGCCGGGACACCTGCACCCCGATGTTTCTAGCAGCAATGTCCACAATAGCCAAACTGTGGAAGGAGCCTCGGTGTCCATCGAAAGATGAATGGATAAAAAAGATGTGGTCTATGTATACGACGGAATATTCCTCAGCCATTAGAAATGAAAAGTACCCACCATTTGCTTCGACGTGGATGGAACTGGAGGGTATTATGCTGAGTGAAATAAGTCAATCGGAGAAGGACAAACATTATATGATCTCATTCATTTGGGGAATATAAAAAATAGTGAAAGGGAATAAAGGGGAAAGGAGAAAAAATGAGTGGGAAATATCAGAGAGGGAGACAGAAAATGAAAGACTCCTAACTCTGGGAAACGAACTAGGGGTGGTGGAAGCGGAGGTGGGGGGGTGGGGGTGATTGGGTGACGGGCACTGAGGTGGGCTCTTGACGGGATGAGCACTGGGTGTTATTCTATATGTTGGCAAATTGAAGACCAATAAGAAATAAATTAAAAAATAAAAATAAATAAATAAATAAATAAATAAAAACAAAACAAAAAAACCCCAAAGTGTGTGCTGGAGTTTCTCAGAGGCAAACAATGGAACTGGCTGCAAAGTCCTAAACTGGAGTTGCCATACCAGGAGGGCTTTGAAACTGGTCTTGGTATGGAGACTGGGCTCTGAAAATCTTCCTGACAGTGTAGTCATTTTAGCAAAAACAAGTACTGTTACAAAAGATGCCTACCATTGAAAATGACCACAATATCCAAGGGACAGCACAACTTTCTGTGTGGCCCTTTTGGCTTAGGGCTCCCTGGTTGTGAGAGCAATGGATGTATCTCAGCAGCATAACCATTAATTTGTGAACCCATTCTAAGTATTACTAAGTTCTAGGCACTGTCTAGATGATAATGTAAGATGGCTTCCCTGGAGGAACACCCAGATAGGAATCAGCCCTCCCCAACCCCCAGGTATGTGCTATAGATATGGTTAAGTGCCCAGCTTGCACAATGGACAGCATGGGTTTCTATCTCAGTGCTGACACTTACTACCTGTGATTTTGGACAAATTATTGAATTTTTCTATGCTTTCATTTCCTTATCTGTAAAATGAGAATGGCATTAATATTGACCGTACACAGTTGCTGTACTAGAAGACAGTATCTGCAGCAGCAGCAGCAGAATCATCACCTGCTGGCAAAGTACAGAAAAGCTGCCTCTTCATGCCTAATACAACTTTCTGATTATTTTCACTTCCCTAAAGTATTTTATACCTTATATACATATATATATACACACACACATACACCTATATACCTATGCCTATTATATACCTGCATGTATATAAATGACATTTTCCCAAAGGCCTAGATGCAAAGCTGCCAGGTTAACCAATGGATAGCAGAATGCTAAAAAAAATCCCAAGAAGAAAGCTCACCCTAGAGTCACTCTGAACAGTTCTTAAAACATAGCTTTTGTGTATAACCTACTAATGTATACTTTTGTAGCTTAGAAAAGAGCCTTCATGGGGCCAAAGAATGTTTCTTGTCTTCCTGTCTGACAGTACTCCTTATATCACGCTTTCCTATTTTTTGTGTTTGTGTGGACCTGACACTCCTAAAGTAGTGCATAATTTTCCACATAATAGGTGTACGTGATAGATACACAGAGGTAAGCTAGGATAATAGTTAAGTAAAAAGACCTTATAGTAAGGTATAGGTTCAAACCCTGGTTCTTCCACCTACAGGCTGTGTGACCTTGAAGAAGATTCATGCTCCCTGAACATGCTCATGGGATGAACAATCAAATTTCATAGAAATCTTATAAAGATTAAATGAGATGATGTATGAAAAATATTCAGCACAATATCTAGCACATAGTAAATTCTCAATAAGTGATAATTATCATTATTTTAAAAAGATATGAATTAGGTAAGCCTCATAGCATACATTTATTTTCAATTGCATATGCATTTACTGCACATCTGCCAAGTATTTTACACTTTGTTACTTATTGTGGGTGCTAGATAAAGGGAATGAACTACTCAATTCTTCTAAAACATATTCTCTGCTTTTCACAAGTATATGACCCTGAAAAAGTGTCCTACAACATGTCCTCATACTGGAAGCTGGACCAGCACCATCCTTTCTGCAATCATCTCAAAGATAAGAATGTAAAGAAGTAGGAAGATAAACATGGACAGAGGTGGGGTTAGATTTTATTAGAAATGAATCAGCCCATCCCACAGATGGCAGCACCCACACATTTTTAGCTATATAAGGGCCATTATCTCAATCCACTGGTCACCCTGCAAGCTGCATCAGGCTTTATCCTACGTGTTCCTTTGGTGAACCAGGTGAGAGCAAATTCATCCAGCTACATTGATGGGTATTTGGTTGATTACTGTCCACATTAGAAATTCAGGAGTAAGAGCTAAGTCAGAGCTAATATGTATTTGGCCACTTCATTCTTGTTTCTTTTTCTTTTTCTTTTCATTTGTTTATTTATTTATTTGGTTAGTTTCATTTATCCTGTGTCTTTTTAGAATAAATTTATTGTTGTCAAGATGAATAATGCAAGAGGTTCATTTTCTTCTAGGCCATTCCACACCTCTTCCTGTTTTTTTGCATGCCATTTTTTTTCTGGGTTGTCCAGATTAAATAGAAAGGAGGCCAGCACTGGTGTAGAGTTCCTTCCCTGTTCACTGTCAGTCCCTGGGGTTCCAAGATCAAATCAGCCACTAGTCAAACTACTGCTTGCATTGCTGAGCTTCTCTTCCCTGTTATTGAAAAAGAATAGTGTTTGGTTGAAGCTGAAATTAGGATAGTTCCTGAGCTCTGATGAGGACTATCTCATGCTTCTGAAGCACCAGGCTAATGTTGGCCCACTTGCCTATTTTTACTTGCTTAAGGCCTTAACAATCCTGGTTAGCTTCTGGTACCAAAAGGAGGAGATATTATAGAAGGTCTGTCACTTTTGACTCAAGGGAACCAGTGAAACTAACCAGAGAGACTGGGACAATACATCTGAGTGGTTCTGGAAACTTTGGAAGCTCCAGGACAACACCCCAAACACCAAAGTACACAATGTATAGAGACATTACGTAAAGAATATCCAGGACATGGAGATCTGAGCTCTAACCTCAGTTCAGTCAGCAACATGCAATAACTTGATCTTAGCAAAGTAATAGGAAGTTAACAAAGTTTTCACTGTACTGAAAGATCCCCAACCATCCTTGCTTGTTGAAGTATTTTAGGTTTAAAAGAGACAAGAGTTTTGAAAAATCATCATGATTATTATTAAAATAAGAATTGCTTATAAATTAAAAGAAAAAATGAATAATAGGGTCTTCTGGGGTTTTTTCTCTTCAGGTTCACTTAAACTTGCAAAAAGATGACCGATCTCTTGAGAAGTGTTGTCACAGTCATTGATGTTTTCTACAAATATACCAAGCAAGATGGAGAGTGTGGCACACTGAGCAAGGATGAGCTAAAGGAACTTCTGGAGAAAGAGTTTCGTCCAATTCTGAAGGTGAGAACCATACACCACAGCTGAAGACTGCTAAGGTTTTGTACATTCTCTGTTATGTGGCCAAAGATTAGTTTAAAAGTACATACTCTCAATGGTCTTTGGGCAAACTCTATGGATATACTTTTTGGGAACATCATAAAGTCTGCTGGGGCATTATTTTTGGAAAAATGTTATTTTTCCTCAGTACACCCACCATGTTGACCTTCAGACTTTTTCATGCCCCCAGGCTTCCCCTTCTGAAAAAAAAAGTATATAAATATGTGCTAAAACATGAGTTAAAAGATTATCCTATCAAATTTGGAAGAAAGAGTATAGATAGGGAAATGTCTACAGGGAAAACTGCAGACAAAAACAAACATTTTTTTCCATCTACTTGGGAAGGACTCAGCTATTAACTTTAGCATTTAGATCCTAACATAGAATATATTAGCATGTAATGTTTAAAATGTATGTAAAACTAAAATATACCAGGTATTGAATTTTGATTTATTCAACTCCTTTTTGTATTCTATACTATACCTGAGTACCTAATCCACTAGCTTAGGTCCTTGCATGGTATTCTGCTAGGGATTCCAATAGTTTTTATTCTTTTCTGTTACCTCTTATTACCTGCTGGGTCTTATTAGGCTATGTTACTTTAAAGTAACCCTTGGCTGGATTTAAATGCCAATGTTAAACATCCACAGTTCCACAGCTCTATCCAAATATTTTACCTGACTATGTGGGCTAGGTTGACTAGGTCTCCTTTGGTATGTCACTTGTATACAGAACCCAGATGATCCAGACACAGTGGATGTTATCATGCACATGCTAGATCGAGATCATGACCGAAGACTGGACTTTACTGAGTTTCTTCTGATGGTATTCAAGCTGGCTATGGCCTGCAACAAGGTTCTCAGCAAGGAATACTGCAAAGCTTCAGGGTCAAAGAAGCATAGGCATGGTCATCAACACCAAAAGGAAGAAAGTGAAACAGAAGAGGAAGAAGAAGATACACAGGGATGGAAATCAGGTTACAGACATTCAAGTTGGAGTGAGGGAGAGGAGCATGGATATGGTTCTGAGGGCTTAAGGGGAAGAGTGAAACATAGACATGGATCAAACTCCAGGAGGCTGGGAAGGCAAGGTGGTTTATCTAGCTCAGGAAACCAAAAGCAACTTGAGAAAAGACGCCATGGGTCCAGCTCTGGTCATTCATGGAGTAGTGGCAAAGAAAGACATGGCTCCAGCTCTGGAGAACGGGAGGAAAGAAGAAATAAGTCATATGTTAGCCCCTCTAGGGAATCTGAGAAGGAATATGAATCTGGATCTGAATCAAAGAGTGGGAGAAGGAAAGGTCATAGTAGTCTGTCACATGGATTGGATGCTAGTGGACACAAATCAAACTCTACTCAGTCAAGAAAGAGTGGAGGACAAAAGCTTGGATCTAGCTCTAGAGGTTCAGGAGACAGGGGAAGCCAAAACTATGCATGTGGTTCCAGCAATTCAGGTGGGTGTGGAAAGCCACAAAATGCTTCTAGTTCTTGTCAGGAAGGTAGATTTGGAGGGCAAGGAAATCAATATAGCTGTACCCAATCAGGTTATCAATCAGGAAGTAGTGGAGGACAAGATCATGGATGTATTTCAGGAGGTCAGTCCTCTGGATATTGTGAACATGAGCCTAGATCCTGTGGCCAGTCTTCTAGTCAGAGAAAATATGTATCTAGAGCATGTGGTCAAACACAGAACGGTGGAAGACAACAGAGAACAGGTTCAAATCAGTCCTGTTGCTGTGAACAATATGGGTCTGAAACAAGTCAGTCTTCTAGTTATGGTCAACATGGATCTGGTTCTTGTGGACACTTTTCAAACTCTCATCAAAAAGGATCTGGTTCAAATGGATTTTCTAAATGTGGACAACATGGGTCTGGCTCTGGGCAGTCCTCTAGCTTTGGACAACATGGGTCAGGCTCAGGTCAATCCTCTGGCTGTGGACATGGCTCTGGCTCATGTCAGTCCTCTGGCTTTGGCCAGCATGGGTCTGGCTCAGGTCAATCCTCTGGTTTATGTCAACATGGGTCTGGCTCAGGACAGTCCTCTGGCTTTGGACAACATGGGTCTGGCTCAGGTCAATCATCTGGCTGTGGACATGGCTCTGGCTCATGTCAGTCCTCTGGCTTTGGCCAGCATGGGTCTGGCTCAGTTCAATCCTCTGGCTTTGGACAACATGGGTCTGGTTCAGGTCAGTACTCTGGTTTAGGTCAGCATGGGTCTGGCTCAGGACAGTCCTCTGGCTTTGGACAACATGGGTCTGGCTCAGGTCAGTCCTCTGGCTTTGGACAACATGGGTCTGGCTCAGGTCAGTCCTCCAGTTTTGGTCAGCATGGGTCTGGCACTGGACAGTCCTCTGGTTTTTCCTCTGGTTTTGGACAAAATGGCTCTGGCTCAGAAATGAATTCCAGTTCAGGACAGTCCTCTGGTTTTGGACAACATGGGTCTGGTGCCCATCAAACTTCTAGCTCAGGTCAATCCTCCAGCTTTGGATTTGGATCTAGCACAAATCAGTCCCCTAGCTTTGGGACTGGCTCAGGTCATTCGTTGGACTTTGGACAAGAATCTACAGCACATCAGTCTAGCTATGGTCAACATGGTTCCAGTTCAGGACAATCCTCAACTTTTGGCAATGGATCTTGCTCAGGCAACACCTCTAAACAAGATCAACATGGATCTAGCTCAAGTAAGTCATCTAGTAAAAATCAACGTGAGTTTAGCTCAATTCAATCCTCTGGCTGTGACAATCAACAAACTAGGGTGGGTGGACAGGAATGCTATGGGACTAGTTCAGGAAAAGGGAGTCAACAATGTAGAAAGTCAATATCACGTTCAGCTAAAAGTCAGAGAAGAGAAACAGCTAAAGGAAGACAGGGAACAACTCATGGACAGTCAGAAGATAGCAGTGGATATGCTCAGTCTGGTCATGGACAAACCTCAAGGACAGAATCCAGTATAACTAGTAGGAGTAGTGTTGGAGAGTCAAGTGACATTCAAGGGCATTCAGGAGTCCCACAGGCACACACAGGATCCCCTCAAGATCATTCCGGAACTCAACATAGAGAGTCAGAATCAACAGTTAAAGGGAGACAGGGAACTACCCATAGAGAGTCAGGAGATATATTTGGACATGCCCAGTCAGGTCATGGACAAGCCACCAGGACACAATCCAGTAGGCCTGGTAGAAGGGAATCTAGTGGCAGTGAGTCCAGTGACACTGAAAGGCACTCAGGTGTCCCACAGGCACACTCACGATCCCCTCGTGGCCAGGCTGGATCTCAACATAGAGAGTCAGGGTCCTCAGTACAAGGAAGACAGGGAACTACACATGGACAGTCAGGAGACACCACTACACATGCCCAGTCGGGTCATGGACAAGCCACCAGGACACAATCCAGTAGGACTGGTAGAAGGGAATCTAGTGGCAGTGAGTCCAGTGACACTGAAAGGCACTCAGGTGTCCCACAGGCACACTCAGGATCCCCTCGTGGCCAGGCTGGATCTCCACATGGAGAGTCAGAGTCCTCAGTACAAGGAAGACAGGGAACTACTCATGGACAGTCAGGAGACACTACTAGACATGCCCAGTCTGGCCATGGACAAGCCACCAGGACACAATCCAGTAGGACTGGTAGAAGGGAATCTAGTGGCAGTGAGTCCAGTGACAGTCAGGGGCACTCAGGAGTCCCACAGGCACACTCAGGATCCCCTCGTGGCCAGGCTGGATCTCAACATGGAGAGTCAGAGTCCTCAGTACAAGGAAGACAGGGAACTACTCATGGACAGTCAGGAGACACCACTACACATGCCCAGTCTGGTCATGGACAAGCCACCAGAACACAATCCAGTAGGACTAGAAGAAGAGGTTCTACTGTCAGTGAGTCCAGTGACAGTCAGGGACACTCAGGAGTCCCACAGGCACACATAGGATCCCCTCATGGTCATTCTGGATCTCAACAGGGAGACTCGGGATCCTCAGTACAAGGGAGACAGGGAACTACCCATAGACAGTCAGGAGATACAGGTGGACATGCGCACTCTGGCCATGGACAAGCCACCAGGACACAATCCAGCAGGACTGGTAGAAGGGAATCTAGTGGCAGTGAGTCCAGTGACACTGAAAGGCACTCAGGTGTCCCACAGGCACACTCAGGATCACCTCGTGGCCAGGCTGGATCTCCACATGGAGAGTCGGAGTCCTCAGTACAAGGAAGACAGGGAACTACTCATGGACAGTCAGGAGACACTACTAGAACTGCGCACTCTGGCCATGGACAAGCCACCAGAACACAATCCAGTAGGACTAGAAGAAGAGGATCTACTGTCAGTGAGTCCAGTGACAGTCAGGGGCACTCAGGAGTCCCACAGGCACACATAGGATCCCCTCAAGGTCATTCTGGATCTCAACAAGGAGAGTCGGGATCCTCAGTACAAGGGAGACAGGGAACTACCCATAGACAGTCAGGAGAAACAGGTGGACATGCACACTCTGGCCATGGACAAGCCACCAGGACACAATCCAGCAGGACTGGTAGAAGGGAATCTAGTGGCAGTGAGTCCAGTGACACTGAAAATCACCTAGGTGTCCCAGAGACACACACAGGATCCCCGCATACTCATGCTGGATCTCAACATCTAGAGTCAGGATCCTCACTACAAAGGAGACAAGGAACATCTCATGGACAATCAAGAGACACCACTGCACATGCCCAGTCTGGTCATGGACAAGCCAGCAGGACACAATACAGTAGGAGTAGAAGAAGTGAGTCTACTGTCAGTGAGTCCAGTGACAGTCAGGGGCACTCGGGAGCCCCACAGACACACACAGGATCCCCTCATGATCAGGCTGGATCTCACCATCCAGAACTGGGTTCCACAGTTAAAGGGAGACAGGGAAAACATTATGGACAGTCAGAAGATAACAGCGCACATGCCCACGCTGGCCATGGACAGGCCACCGGGACACTATCCAGAAGGACTGATAGAAGGGAATCTGGAGGCAGTGAGTCCAGTGACACTGAAAGGCACTCAGGAATCCCACAAACACACACAGAATCCCCACGTACTCACGCTGGACCTCAACATGGAGAGTCAGGGTCCTCACTACAAGGGAGACAGGGAACTGCTCATGGACAGTCAGGAGACACTACTAGACATGCGCACTCTGGCCATGGACAAGCCACCAGGACACAATCCAGTAGGACTGGTAGAAGGGAATCTAGTGGCAGTGAGTCCAGTGACACTGAAAGGCACTCACGTGTCCCACAGGCACACTCAGGATCCCCTCGTGGCCAGGCTGGATCTCCACATGGAGAGTCAGAGTCCTCAGTACAAGGAAGACAGGGAACTACTCATGGACAGTCAGGAGACACCACTACACATGCCCAGTCTGGTCATGGACAAGCCACCAGAACACAATCCAGTAGGACTAGAAGAAGAGGTTCTACTGTCAGTGAGTCTAGTGACAGTCAGGGGCACTCAGGAGTCCCACAGGCACACATAGGATCCCCTCATGGTCATTCTGGATCTCAACAGGGAGACTCGGGATCCTCAGTACAAGGGAGACAGGGAACTACCCATAGACAGTCAGGAGATATAGGTGGACATGCCCACTCTGGCCATGGACAAGCCACCAGAACACAATCCAGTAGGACTGGTAGAAGGGAATCTAGTGGCAGTGAGTCCAGTGACACTGAAAAGCACTCAGGAGTCCCACAGGCACACTCAGGATCCCCTCGTGGCCAGGCTGGATCTCAACATGGAGAGTCGGGATCCTCAGTACAAGGAAGACAGGGAACTACTCATGGACAGTCAGGAGACACCACTACACATGCCCAGTCTGGTCATGGACAAGCCACCAGAACACAATCCAGTAGGACTAGAAGAAGAGGATCTACTGTCAGTGAGTCCAGTGACAGTCAGGAGCACTCAGGAGTCCCACAGGCACACATAGGATCCCCTCAAGGTCATTCTGGATCTCAACAAGGAGAGTCGGGATCCTCAGTACAAGGGAGACAGGGAACTACCCATAGACAGTCAGGAGATACAGGTGGACATGCGCACTCTGGCCATGGACAAGCCACCAGGACACAATCCAGCAGGACTGGTAGAAGGGAATCTAGTGGCAGTGAGTCCAGTGACACTGAAAATCACCTAGGTGTCCCAGAGACACACACAGGATCCCCGCATACTCATGCTGGATCTCAACATCTAGAGTCAGGATCCTCACTACAAAGGAGACAAGGAACATCTCATGGACAATCAAGAGACACCACTGCACATGCCCAGTCTGGTCATGGACAAGCCAGCAGGACACAATACAGTAGGAGTAGAAGAAGTGAGTCTACTGTCAGTGAGTCCAGTGACAGTCAGGGGCACTCGGGAGCCCCAAAGACACACACAGGATCCCCTCATGATCAGGCTGGATCTCAACATCCAGAACTGGGTTCCACAGTTAAAGGGAGACAGGGAAAACATTATGGACAGTCAGAAGATAAAAGCGCACATACCCACGCTGGCCATGGACAAGCCACCAGGACACAATCCAGTAGGACTGGTAGAAGGGAATCTAGTGGCAGTGAGTCCAGTGACACTGAAAGGCACTCAGGTGTCCCACAGGCACACTCAGGATCCCCTCATGGCCAGGCTGGATCTCAACAAGGAGAGTCAGGGTCCTCAGTACAAGGAAGACAGGGAACTACTCATGGACAGTCAGGAGACACTACTAGAACTGCGCACTCTGGCCATGGACAAGTCACCAGAACACAATCCAGTAGGAGTAGAAGAAGAGGTTCTACTGTCAGTGAGTCCAGTGACAGTCAGGGGCACTCAGGAGTCCCACAGGCACAAATAGGATCCCGTCAAGGTCATTCTGGATCTCAACAAGGAGAGTCGGGATCCTCAGTACAAGGCAGACAGGGAACTACTCATGGACAGTCAGGAGATACAGGTGGACATGCCCACTCTGGCCATGGACAAGCCACCAGAACACAATCCAGTAGGACTGGTAGAAGGGAATCTAGTGGCAGTGAGTCCAGTGACACTGAAAGGCACTCACGTGTCCCACAGGCACACTCAGGATCACCTCGTGGCCAGGCTGGATCTCCACATGGAGAGTCGGAGTCCTCAGTACAAGGAAGACAGGGAACTACTCATGGACAGTCAGGAGACACTACTAGAACTGCGCACTCTGGCCATGGAGAAGCCACCAGAACACAATCCAGTAGGACTAGAAGAAGAGGATCTACTGTCAGTGAGTCCAGTGACAGTCAGGGGCACTCAGGAGTCCCACAGGCACACATAGGATCCCCTCAAGGTCATTCTGGATCTCAACAAGGAGAGTCGGGATCCTCAGTACAAGGGAGACAGGGAACTACCCATAGACAGTCAGGAGATACAGGTGGACATGCGCACTCTGGCCATGGACATGCCACCAGGACACAATCCAGTAGGACTGGTAGAAGGGAATCTAGTGGCAGTGAGTCCAGTGACACTGAAAGGCACTCAGGTGTCCCACAGGCACACTCAGGATCCCCTCGTGGCCAGGCTGTATCTCCACAGGGAGAGTCAGAGTCCTCAGTACAAGGAAGACAGGGAACTACTCATGGACAGTCAGGAGACACTACTAGACATGCCCAGTCTGGCCATGGACAAGCCACCAGGACACAATCCAGTAGGACTGGTAGAAGGGAATCTAGTGGCACTGAGTCCAGTGACACTGAAAGGCACTCAGGAGTCCCACAGGCACACTCAGGATCCCCTCGTGGCCAGGCTGGATCTCAACATGTAGAGTTGGGATCCTCAGTACAAGGAAGACAGGGAACTACTCATGGACAGTCAGGAGACACCACTACACATGCCCAGTCTGGTCATGGACAAGCCACCAGAACACAATCCAGTAGGACTAGAAGAAGGGGATCTACTGTCAGTGAGTCCAGTGACAGTCAGGAGCACTCAGGAGTCCCACAGGCACACATAGGATCCCCTCAAGGTCATTCTGGATCTCAACAGGGAGAGTCGGGATCCTCAATACAAGGGAGACAGGGAACTACCCATAGACAGTCAGGAGATACAGGTGGACATGCGCACTCTGGCCATGGACAAGCCACCAGGACACAATCCAGCAGGACTGGTAGAAGGGAATCTAGTGGCAGTGAGTCCAGTGACACTGAAAATCACCTAGGTGTCCCAGAGACACACACAGGATCCCCGCATACTCACGCTGGATCTCAACATCTAGAGTCAGGATCCTCACTACAAAGGAGACAAGGAACATCTCATGGACAATCAAGAGACACCACTGCACATGCCCAGTCTGGTCATGGACAAGCCAGCAGGACACAATACAGTAGGAGTAGAAGAAGTGAGTCTACTGTCAGTGAGTCCAGTGACAGTCAGGGGCACTCGGGAGCCCCACAGACACACACAGGATCCCCTCATGATCAGGCTGGATCTCACCATCCAGAACTGGGTTCCACAGTTAAAGGGAGACAGGGAAAACATTATGGACAGTCAGAAGATAACAGCGCACATGCCCACGCTGGCCATGGACAGGCCACCGGGACACTATCCAGAAGGACTGATAGAAGGGAATCTGGAGGCAGTGAGTCCAGTGACACTGAAAGGCACTCAGGAATCCCACAAACACACACAGAATCCCCACGTACTCACGCTGGACCTCAACATGGAGAGTCAGGGTCCTCACTACAAGGGAGACAGGGAACTGCTCATGGACAGTCAGGAGACACTACTAGACATGCGCACTCTGGCCATGGACAAGCCACCAGGACACAATCCAGTAGGACTGGTAGAAGGGAATCTAGTGGCAGTGAGTCCAGTGACACTGAAAGGCACTCAGGTGTCCCACAGGCACACTCAGGATCCCCTCTTGGCCAGGCTGGATCTCAACAAGGAGAATCAGGGTCCTCAGTACAAGGAAGACAGGGAACTACTCATGGACAGTCAGGAGACACCACTACACATGCGCACTCTGGCCATGGACAAGCCACCAGAACACAATCCAGTAGGACTAGAAGAAGAGGTTCTACTGTCAGTGAGTCCAGTGACAGTCAGGGGCACTCAGGAGTCCCACAGGCACACATAGGATCCCCTCAAGGTCATTCTGGATCTCAACAGGGAGAGTCGGGATCCTCAATACAAGGGAGACAGGGAACTACCCATAGACAGTCAGGAGATACAGGTGGACATGCACACTCTGGCCATGGACAAGCCACCAGGACACAATCCAGCAGGACTGGTAGAAGGGAATCTAGTGGCAGTGAGTCCAGTGACACTGAAAATCACCTAGGTGTCCCAGAGACACACACAGGATCCCCGCATACTCACGCTGGATCTCAACATCTAGAGTCAGGATCCTCACTACAAAGGAGACAAGGAACATCTCATGGACAATCAAGAGACACCACTGCACATGCCCAGTCTGGTCATGGACAAGCCAGCAGGACACAATACAGTAGGAGTAGAAGAAGTGAGTCTACTGTCAGTGAGTCCAGTGACAGTCAGGGGCACTCGGGAGCCCCACAGACACACACAGGATCCCCTCATGATCAGGCTGGATCTCACCATCCAGAACTGGGTTCCACAGTTAAAGGGAGACAGGGAAAACATTATGGACAGTCAGAAGATAACAGCGCACATGCCCACGCTGGCCATGGACAGGCCACCGGGACACTATCCAGAAGGACTGATAGAAGGGAATCTGGAGGCAGTGAGTCCAGTGACACTGAAAGGCACTCAGGAATCCCACAAACACACACAGAATTCCCACGTACTCACGCTGGATCTCAACATGGAGAGTCAGGGTCCTCAGTACAAGGAAGACAGGGAACTACTCATGGACAGTCAGGAGACACCACTACACATGCCCAGTCTGGTCATGGACAAGCCACCAGAACACAATCCAGTAGGACTAGAAGAAGAGGTTCTACTGTCAGTGAGTCCAGTGTCAGTCAGGGGCACTCAGGAGTCCCACAGGCACACATAGGATCCCCTCAAGGTCATTCTGGATCTCAACAAGGAGAGTCGGGATCCTTAGTACAAGGGAGACAGGGAACTACCCATAGACAGTCAGGGGATACAGGTGGACATGCAAACTCTGGCCATGGACAAGCCACCAGGACACAATCCAGCAGGACTGGTAGAAGGGAATCTAGTAGCAGTGAGTCCAGTGACACTCAGGGGCATTCAGGAGTCCCACAGGTGCACTCAGGATCCCCCCATGGGCAGGCTGGATCTCAACATGGAGAGTCAGATTCCACCACCAAAGAGAGACAGGAATATACTCATAAACAGTCAGGGGACACCAGTGGACATGCCCAATCTGTTCATGGACAGGCTACTAGGACACAATCCAGGAGGGCTAGAAGAAGGGGATCTACTGTCAGTGAGTCCAGTGACACTCAGGAATACTCAGGAGCCCCACAGATACACTCAGGTTCCCTCCATGGCCAGGTTGGATCTGAACATCCAGAGTCAGAATCCACAATTAAAAGGAGACAGGGCACTAGTAATAGACAGTCAGAGGACACCACTGGTAATGCTTATTCTGGTCATGGACAAGCCACCAGGGCAGAATCCAGTAGGACTAGAAGAAAGGGATTTAGTGGCACTGAGTCCAGTGACACTGAAAGACATTCAGGAGTCCCACTGACCCAATCAGGATCCCCTCATGGTCATACTGGATCTTTACATGGAGAGTTAGGATCCACAATTAGAAGGAGACAGGGAAGTACTCATGGACATTCAAGAGGCACCAGTGGACATTCTGGGTCCAGTCATATACAGTCACATGAAACTCATAGGCTGTCTAAGGATACCATAAGGAAACAGTCACATAGCATTCATCACCAATCTAGAGTGAGTCATTCTCAATCACAACATAGTGGAAAACAAAGACATGGATCAGATCAAGGATGGAAACATGGCAGTTATGGAAGTGCAGAATATGACTATGGGCAGTCTGGGTATGGACCTTCTGGGGGCAGCAGAACAAGCAGCCGAAATTCTAGCCCTTTAAGGTCATTGGATAGAGCTGCAAACAATCAAGTGTCTACACATGGACAATCATTTTCTAGGCCTGACCATACAGGATCAAAAGCAACTGAAATAATTGGAAGACAAAGCTCAAGTCATGGACAGTCAATTGATTCCCACAATAAGTCTGGATCCAGTGTAAATAGAAGGCAGGGATCTTTGCATGGGCATTCAATAGTAAGTCATGAATCACCAGTTGACATCCATGTTCAATTTGGAAGGGAGGTATCTACTACTCATAGGCTGTCAAGCAACCATTCTGTATCCAGCCATGGACAATTCATATCAGCTCTCAGCCATCTAGAGTCTAATTCAGCCTTAAGGCAGGATTTTCATAGTGATAATAAAGAGCATTCAGAAGATTGGGGGAAACAGATTCATGAACCATCAGGATCTAGGCATGGACAGTCTGAATTCAATATTATTAGTATCCATAGATCCAACCAGCAGCATTTGGCAGATACAACTTCTCATGATCAGGTAAGATACAACACATGTTTAGTAAGACAGGGATCAAGTAATAGAAAATCAGGGGACATCCAGGGTCAATCTGGATTCAGCACTAATGAAAGCCGAGTAGATAGCCATGACCAATCAAGTGACAGCTATGGGAAGTCAAGTAATAGCAGAAGTCAAGGAATCATTTTCAGTCACTCTCATGATAGCCAAGACCCTGCAGGAATTGAAGAATATGGTCCAACCATGTGGAATGGGGACAGGCAAAAGCAAGGTCCCAAATCAAGTTTATTTAGAAGCACCAGAATATATAGTCAAAATGTGGATGATAAGCAGACAAGAAACACTGAGGCCAGAGGTTGCCATAAAAGGGAGAGAACAGACTCAGGTTCCTGTTATTTAGATAGCAACACTCCACTCTATGAATATGTCCAAGAACAAAGGTGTTATTACATTGAATAATAATTTGAAGCCAACTAACCCAAGATAAGAACTAACCCAAAGAAGAAATGAGAATTCAACATGGAATTAAAATATTTACCATGGTCCTTTCTTTTGGTAGTCGGGGTATATATGTCTTTTATTTAACTATAGCATTGTACTCTATTCCTCTTGTTTTATGAGGGTTTTGTTGTTTTTTGTTGTTTTTTTTTTGTAAGACTCCATAATCACTAAGCTCTTTGGTTAGAAAACAGTGAATGGAAGGAGTAAATAGCACTTGGAACTATATTTAGATTGTATGACATAATGATTTGAGTGCTTTGGTATAAAATAAGCATTAAAAAATGTCTGAGACTCAGAGTTTGGCCTTTCCAGATTTTATTTTAATTGACCATTGACAAACCTATCCAGGAGCTAAGAAACATGATTTTGGAGTCAAAATTTCTCTAACAATATTGTAACATATTCAATGTCCTGAGCAAAGAATGTTGTAGTAGTTGATGAGTCAGAATATTTGCATCTTTTCTGTTACCATGGAACTTTGTACTAATACTTTTGAATTTATTGTCATGACTCCTGTATTGCATAAAAATTGTGAATAAACTCTCCATCAAGGTATAGTTTCTTTTCTCTTTCATCTTCACAAACAAACATAGCTCCTTGCCACAGGATCAGATGCACATTTCTTTTTTAAAAAAATTATTTTATTTAAATTAAATTAATTAACATATAGTGTATCATTAGTTTCAAAGGTAGAGTTCAGTTATTCATCAGTTGCATATACCACCCAGTGCTCATTACATCATGTGCCCTCCTTAATGCCATTACTCAATTACCCCATCCACCTACCCTATTCCCCCTAGCAACCCTCAAGTTTTTAAAAGATTTTATTTATTTATTCATGAGAGACACTCAGACAGAGATACAGGCAGAAGGAGAAGCAGACTCCTTGCAGAGAGCCCGTTACAGGACTCAATCCCAGAACCCCAGGATCACGACCTGAGCCAAAGGCAGAGGCTTAACCACTGAGCAATCCAGGCATCCCAACCCTCAGTTTGTTTCCTATTGTTAAGAATCTCTTATGGTTTGCCTCTCTCTCTATTTCCATCTTATTTTATTTTTCCTTTCTTTCCCCTATGTTCATATGTTTTGTTTCTTAAATTCTACATATGAGTGAAATCGTATTATATTTGTCTTTCTCTGACTGACTTATTTCACTTAGCATAATACCCTCTAGTTCTATCCATGTCATTGCAGATGGCAAGATTTCATTCTTTTTGATGGATAATATTCCATTACATATATATATGTAATGTATATTGTGTATATATACACACATATATATACACACACACATATATATATATATTGCTCCTATAAGCATTCTGTTTTCTTCCACCTTCACTTTTGAAATTCAAACTAAAGTGAAATTTATCAATGAGTGTTCAATATCATAAGCTCCTACTGGAGGCAGAATTCTATGGAAAAATCAAAACATGGGCTAAGTTTTCTGATGAGACTCAGAATATCTTATATTTACTTGTAAATATTTTAAGAAAGACTACACAAACTTTGATCACTGTGCAATATGATCAACAGGACAGTAGTCATATTAGTTTACTAGAGAAAGTAAATAAAACAATTGTTATACTATAAATGCACACATAAGAAATAACTATATATGATAGTTAATCCTAAATAGTAATCAATTCATACAAATCTATCCATCAGCATTTATTATCTGAATAAACACTAGTTATCAAAACATCATTAGACATTACTGCTTATAAACATTGGGATGCATGTGCCCCTTTGAATCACAGTTTGTATACTTTGAATAAATACCTAGTAGTGCAATAGCAGCAATGCCCACAACAGCCAAAACATGGAAAGAACCCAGATGTCCATTAACAGATGAATGGATAAATATGTGATATATATATATATATATATATATATATATATATATACATATGTATAAACACACAATGGAATATTACTCAGCCGCCAAAAGGAATAAAAAAACCTTGCCATTTGTAATGATGTGGATGGAATTAGAGGATATTATGCCAAGCAAAATAAATCAGGGAAAGATAAATACCATATGACTTCACTCATATGTGGAACTTAAGAAATAAAACAGAGGAACATAGGGGAAGGGAAAGAAGAATAAAATAAGATGAAAACAGGGGAATCCCTGGGTGGCTCAGTGATTTAGTGCCTGCCTTTGGCCCAGGGCATGATCCTGAAGTCCTTGGATCGAGTCTCATGTCTGGTTCCTGCGGGGAGACTGCTTCTCCCTCTGCCTGTGTGTGTGTGTCTCTCTCTCTGTGTCTCTCATGAATGAATGAATGAATAAATAAATAAATAAATAAATAAATAAATAAATAAGATGAAAACGAAGAAGGAGATAAATCATGAGACTCTTAACTCTAGGAAACAACCTAAGGGTTGCTGGAGGGAGGTGGGTGGGGGCACGGGGGTAAATGGGTGATGAGCATTAAGGAGGTCTCATTCATTTGGGGAGTATAAAAAACAGTGAAAGGGAATAAAGGAGAAAGGAGAAAAAATGAGTGGGAAATATCAGAAAGGGAGAGAGAACATGGAAGACTCCTAACTCTGGGAAACGAACTAGGGGAGGTGGAAGGGGAGGTGGGCGGGGGGTAGGGGTGACTGGGTGAGGGGCACTAAGGGTGGCACTTGATGGGATGAGCACTGGGTGTTATTCTATATGTTGGCAAATTGAACACCAATAAAAAAATAAATTTATAAAAAAAAGAAAGAAGAAAGAAAAGAAAAAGAAAGAAAGAAAGAAAGAAAGAAAGAAAGAAAGAAAGAAAGAAAGAAAGAAAGAAAGAAAGAAATCTTTATGTTCTGTCTCTGGGAAATGAACTAGGGGTGGTGGAGGGGGAGGAGGGCGGGGGGTGGGGGTGAATGGGTGACGGGCACTGAGGGGGACACTTGACGGGATGAGCACTGGGTGTTATTCTGTATGTTGGTAAATTGAACACCAATAAAAATTAATTTATTAAAAAAAAAGAAAAACAAAAAGAAAGGAAGGAAGGAAGGAAGGAAGGAAGGAAGGAAGGAAGGAAGGAAGGAAGGAAGACACGTAATGTGATGAACACTGGGTGTTATATGCAACTGATGGATCACCAAATTCTACCCCTGAAACTAATAATACAGTATATGTTAATTAAATTGAACTTAAAGAAATAATATTTTTTAAAAAGCATCATTAGAAATTTAAATATTGGGCGGGAGAGCTAAGATGGAAGAGTAGTAGGGGGATCCTATGCTTGCTTTGTCCTTCAAGACAGCTAGATAAATACAAAATCATTCTGAACACCCAAAAAATCAATCTGAGGACTAAGAACTCCACAACTATAGGAAGAAAAGAGACCACATAATGGAAGGTAGAAGGTACAGAGATGTGATTTGGGGGAGAAAAGGATTGCAGGTGTTGTGGAGGGGAGGGAGCCCTGATCACAGAAAAGGTGAGAGAGAGAGAGAGAGAGAGAGAGAGAAACACAAACGGAGACAGAGAGAGAGAGAGACAGAGACAGAGACAGAGTGGATCACACCGGAGATCACACAAGGAAAACACTTTCCCAAAGCCATTGACTGGGAAAATGAGAGGGGCTGATAATCAAGAGATTTTACAACCAGTGGAGCTCAAAGACTGGAGTTTTACATGTCTGTGTCATAGCTGGTTTTGAGCCTGGCAGGCCCTGTAGTGCTCCTATAGAGAAAGATAGCAAAGGCATGGGAGAGACAGTGTGATCTAGGAGTCCCCTGGGATACATTGAGAGGGATGGCTCCCCCTTCCTGGAGTGATCTGGGAGAGGTAGCATTGCCTCTCAGGGGACAAAAGATCCAGCAGTTGACACTGCATCCCCCACCCCTAAAGCATAGGGGCAGAGACAGCTGCTGAGGACAGCTAACCTGTATACTGACTTTTGCTTCACTTTACTCAATTCAAGGCTCCTGCATTAGTGCAACTGTACTTCTGGAACATATCTGCATCAGTCCCAGCACAGCAAGACCCTGCCCGAGATGACCAGTGTGGGTCCATGCCATTCCAGGTCCCTAAACTCTGGAGTTTTGAAACTCAGCTGGCCTACCTGGGACAAAACACCGGTGCACTGCACTGCCATACATACAGATACCCCAGATACAAACAGAGTGAAGGCAGGGATGTGAGGAACACCTGGGACATAAAAGAGAATATTGTTTGCTCTCCCATGAGGGCTTCCCAGACAGCAGATATGAACTTTACTCTCTGGGGATGAGAGAGACACTGGTACTATTGTTCTCCCCCACCCATCAGCATTACTGACTTCAGTGAGTAGCACAGTGATGCTCTGCAGTTAATTCTTTATTAGGGCAAGTGTGCCTAAGAAACAGAACAGTGGGTCACACCCCCAGAAGACCAACACAAGCTCCCCTCATGAATGAAGTCTACTAACCATAGAGTACTGCAAAATTTAAGCTCTAGGGTAAAAGCCATTAAACTTCTTTTAATGAGTAGACCAGAGCACACCTACTTAAACTTTCCACTTTCTAGACAAGATCCAAATACTCCCCACTGCAGGCAAAGAGAAACTCTGCAGAGGACTGACCTGAGGAATAGGGCAGTCATAACAGAAGCACAGTGCACACAGCATACACCACAGATCTTTCCTGAGGCACCAAGTGCTAGCCAGTATATGACCTCCTCTTCATAAAACCATTACTCTTAGGAGCTGTAAACATAATGGGCTTTCCTGACATAGAGAAGACAGAGACATTAACCAAAAGCCAAGATAGAGCAATTCATCCCAAAAGAAAGAACAATGGGTCACATCTAGGGATCTAATCACAACAGATATAAGTAATACACCTGATACAGAATTTAAAGCAACAAACATGAGGATACTAGCTGAGCTTAAAAATGCATAGAAAACACACCAGGGAATAGCTTACTGCAGAGATAGAAGACCTAAAAACCATCAGGCCAAATTAAAAATGCTATAACTGAAATGCAAAACTGACTGTATATAACTATAAGGATGGAAGAAGCAGAGGAGTGAATAAGTGATATAGAAGATAAAATTATGGAAAATAATGAATCTGAAAAGAAGAGGGAAAGAAAAATGGTGGATCACAAATATAGACAAAGGGAACTCAGTGACTCAGTAAAGCATAATAACATTCATATCATAGGAATTTCAGAAGTAGGGATCCCTGGGTGGCGCAGTGGTTTAGCGCCTGCCTTTGGCCCAGGGCGCGATCCTGGAGACCCGGGATGGAATCCCACGTCAGGCTCCCGGTGCATGGAGCCTGCTTCTCCCTCTGCCTCTCTCTCTCTCTCTCTCTCTCTCTCTCTCTCTCTCTCTCTGACTATCATAAATAAACTAAAAAAAAAAAAAAAGGAATTTCAGAAGTAGAGCCACCTGGGTGCTCAGTGGTTGAACATATACTTTTGGCTCAGGTTGTGATCCCAGGGTCCTGAGATCAAGTCCCACATTGGGCTCCCCACAGGAAGCCCTCTGCCTATGACTCTGCCTCTCTCTGTGTGTCTCTCCCGAATAAATAAATAAAATCTTTTTTAAAAAATTTAAAAATGGAATTCCAAA